TGACGTGAGGGAGGACTGCGTATCATCAGACACGGCATCAGCAAGACATAACGTGTGCGTGCACCGGCGCATGTCTCATCCCCCAAACCCTCCCGGGCTGTAGTTAATAAAAATCTGTGATTTCGTATGTGGTCTTTGGACCTCTGCCCTCATTTCACTCAGTTCTCCCACCGCCTTCCGCGAGTTACTGCGTAAAGCGGGGAGGGAGGGCGGCTTTGGACAGAGCCATAAAGGCTTTGCCTTGCCCGGCCTGGTTTCGGTGGTGAAACATCCCCACATCTGCTGCTGAAAGATTGCTTGGAGAATTCAGCGCCCTGGTGGTGCACAGCTTCTGCCCCGTTCCGCCCTTCCTTCAGCTTGGACGACTGACACACTGACAAAACCCAAGGGAAACCGTTCTGAACTTTTAATTTTCCAAAATGTTGACTACCAGGAGGAAGTAAAAAACCAGCGTGATGGGGAATGATTTTCACATTTTACCGTTCGCTGTCGTGATGAGCAGTACTCCACAGCAGTAAAACGATTTGCACGGGACCATAAAAGAAAGAGTTGCTCAACTCTGATGAAGAGTGACTAACACTTCTTCATACGACCTTGGCTCTGCTTCACGGCGACGAGGTCACTCATCGTGGGCTTTATTGAGGTACGGATGAGTGCCCGAGGCGTGTTTGAACAGTGCGTCCCGGGGGCAGCGAGCGAGTCCCGGCAGCCCATGCCCACGGCCTTTCTGCCTGCTCTGTCCGTAGGAGCTCCAGCACTCGCAGTTTTCGCCGGATGGGTGCTCCTGTGCGGACACTGTGGATGGTTTGGCCTTTTTTTTTTTTTATGTGTGATGTGGTGAGAAAACCCTGGACTGTGTGCAGACAATTTTTAAGCAGCTCATGGAAGTAAAACAGAAAAGCAAACTTACTGGCACTAGATTTGTATTCATTGTAGGGTGGCCTGGCCCCTCACTGAAAGAAAAATCTAGGGAATAGCACATTTCAGACTTTGAAAAATCACCGAAAGCTGTTGAGGCGTGTTTGTCTCAAATCTGAATTGGTGATCAAATTGCCCCTGCTTCTAAGGAGATTATCAGTTTCCTTATTTCTGCATACATTAAATGATCCCCTATACAAAGGTCTCATGATGCAACTTACTCCACCTTCCAGGAACTAATTTACAGTAAATCCAGGGTGAGTAATGCAAGCTCCAGAGTCAAAAATGCAAAAGTAAATTGGAACATCTGCGAGAGAGAATTGTCATTCCCGGTGCCATATAAGTGTATGTGTGTGTATACAGATGTATATCGACATTCAAGGTCGAGACCTCAAAGTTTACAACATTCGCAGAGGTAAAAAAAGCCCTTGAGATAAGGTGCCCAGGGGCAGGCGTTGCTGCTGCAGACAAGTCCTGCGAGGGCGATGTTCGCCTCTGGTTCAGACCGTAACCTGTCTTGGCGTGGTGGGCTCCAGTGTCTCGTTTCCTACACTCCCTCCTGCTTTGTACAAAACTAACAGTAGCTATCACTTTGCAAAGAGAAGTGAGCTTTTTAAGTTGAAAGCAGTTGCGTGAGCTGTAAATCATACCCCACCATGTGAAGAGCCAGGCCCTGCGCTCAGGGAGGGGGGACGTGGCTGGGAGGTGAAGCCAGACCAGCTGCCGTCTGCGTGCCTGGACATCCCCGTATCCCTCCCAGTAGTTCCTGAGTGTCGATCATCAGCCCGTGCCTTGTGTCCGAGTCAGGCAGTGGGGTGGAGCGTTTCTGAACTGGTGGTCAACTACAGCTGAAACACACCCAACCTGGATATGGTTTCTTTCATATTTGTTTGCTTGGGTACTCTTGTTGGGAATTGTACAAAGCGCAGATGATGTATGACCAAAAGTAACGTAGAGAGTTCCGCGGTATCAGTATGCCAAAAAGGAGTCATAAAAAAAAGGAAGATTGCCAAAAGCTGGTATAAATCACTTTAATTAAAATCTTCAAATGTAAAAGTCACAAGCATTGGAATGAACAAAACTGTTAGAAAAGTGCTAAAAAGAAGCTACCAGGTAAACAACAACTTTGATGTCTCAGTTGTAACTGACATTATTATATAATAATAATATATTATTAACGTTAAGTTGACTGCACGTAAGACTTTGCACTCCATTTTACGCTCTCTTTACTTCTTCACTTGGACAATGTAAACAGACTTGGCCTTCCTCATTCCCATTTCTGAATTATATTACCCCCCAATACATAACCCTTCACAGAATCTGTCTGCGCTGTGGATGCGCACACTCCTTTGTCACACTGAACTTAAATGCAACCTTGTCGTTGTGCAACTTTCATCACAGCTTCAAAAGTGCAACTGTTTTTAAAGTCTTCTCATTAAAAAATGTCCCCCCCCTCCTCCCCCCCGCCCCATGTTGAAACCCCATGTAGCTGGTAGCATCCTTTTAAAGCTTAAAAAGGGAAATACAGAGGTGTGGTGGGGGTGTTTTCCCCTGCTGTGCTCAAAATACCGTAAGGCGTTGGTGGTGGCATGGGTTATATATCTTCAAGAAAAGCAGATGCAAATAAACACATGTGGGAGACCACAGGTACTCTCCGGGGTGTTTTGCTGCCCTGCAGACCGGCAGCCTGCGCGCCAGGGGCACACTGAACCGCAGCAGGGTGCACATGGGGAAGGCACG